CAGTGCTACTGTTGCTGCTGCGACACCATCGCTACCATCGTCACCACTGTCTCAGCCGCCGCCAGTGCTTTCAGTATAGCTACAGCCACCGCCCCCGCCTCCCACCTTCCTCTTCCACCTCTCTCTTCTCTCTTATTCTCACCCTTCCATCGCGATATATATGTTGCACGCATTACGCCAGTAACGTATCAACTTAGGTCCTGTATAGGTCCTGCTTCAACTATGGGGGTAAAGGGAGAGTTTTGGAGCTCGATCGATCTACCTGCTAGTCTGAAAATTCAATTGGCTGGTATATGGACGCAATGCTATTTTATACGTTATTTCTTTGTTCACGTATTTTTTTCCTGTATTCACGTATTTATTCTGTGTAAAAAAAACATTCATATCATAAAATTTATTTTCTTCTACTTCGTAGAATCATTTATTCAATTAACATCTTTTCCTGTTTCTTCATCGTGTTTAGAATACTGAAGTAAAAAGAGGTTCAGTTTATAGAAAGACCTGCTTCAAAATAGCTTCACGGCCAAGAGTTAATGACCGATTGGTCATGACCATGATAATGTTCACGGTAATTTTATCAATTTCGTTTATATTTATACAACGTGGTAACTGTTGTGCTTTAAATTGAAGTTGATGATTTTATTATCGATAAATACAGCCCGATCTAATTCTTTGCAAATGCAAATACTCTGTTGTAAGATGTCTTGAAGATATTAATGTTTCTGGAAAATTTATTTATATTCTATACATACATATAATATATGTTTATAATATTAATATTAATATTATATAAAATATAATATATGTTTTTAATCTTATTATTTGTTTATATTTAATTGGAATAGAAATTATTTTTAGAATTTTTTTATAATAATAAGTCAGAGAAATTTATTAACAACATTTATATTCAATATAACAATAAATATATAATATTATAAATATTTAAAATAATAATTTTATTAACAATATATATGTAATAATAATAAATCATTATATAAATGTTGAAATTTTATCTATTCATGAGAAATTGTTTTGTACAAGATAGAGAATAGATCATATAAATTATAATCATAAAAAATTGAATATCTGTTGATCAATTAGATAAGATATTTGACATATTTTGTCTGAAAATTCGGTTATTCCTTAAGCGATAAGGTAATTAGCATAAGAAATATATATTTTGCGGATTTGCGGCGCCTGGTATTAGGATCGGCCATCTCCGTGTATTACCGTATCCTCAGAATTGCCGTCAGTCGCGTACGGCTCGTCGCGCCGTCAACGTCGTGGTAGGGGGATAGTGTATACATACTCATGTGTGTGCTTTATTCGTAGTCTTCATGAGTGTTCCAATTATTGACATTGTGGTCTTTTTCGCTTTTCATCTGGGAAAAGTATAGCAGGAAAATAAGAATACAGTGTTCTTATATCATTTGACAAAAGAGACGATCATGGATTCATGGATGTACGATGTGGTAGGTGTTGTCGATACATAACCTCTTTCTTCTTTTCCATCTCGTGGCTTTGTTTACGTTGCTGCGCGCGCGTTCTTTGCTATTTTCCGTTAATCCGTTGATCGAATATCGAGTAAAGTTTTGATTATTTCGAAATGAAAATATTTAACGTTCGTTTCGAAGAATAATCAAATAAAAAAATTTGTTTTATAACAGATCATGTGTTGATCATTATAATATGATTAAATCTGGAGTTCGTGAAAAAATTAGCTTAGTAATCTTAAAAAATTTTTATTTTTTTTTCTTTATTAATATGCAACAAATTCAATGATTTTTCTTACATAGATCAGTTAGTTAATTACATCTCTGTTGTTCGAACTTGCTTGTTTTTCAATGCAATAAGAATACATATGTATTATCTTTGTCGCGTACATACCGTCAGTCAGCTTTAGCGACAACAGACTCGGTTATTACGTTACGACGTGTCTGTTAGGTAATCTATCCTGTAACTTACTGATCATTTTTCCACGTCTGTCGGTTTTTAACGTTACCGTTGATTCATGATTATATTCTTCGATTTTGTAATTTTTATTTTTGCTAATTGATAAGTTGATCGATTGATTTGAATTAAATTTTACGTTTAACGTATACGTAAAATATGTAAATATTTGAATAAATATGATAAATTTAAGATACTAAATAGATAATGAATTTAAAATTCTATATTGAATATAAGTTAAAATATTTTACATCATTTGTATATATATATGTACATACAAACATTGTTATGAAAAAGTTGTTTATTTTGATGACTGTGAAACAACTAAATCGAACGACCTTAAGTTAGAAACTTTTATCAATACTTTTTCATCTACGTTTTTTTTCTTGTTTGTTCCTAAAAATTTCTTTTAATTTTTGTTTTTTATTTGCAATTTTGTTAAAAGATATATTTTATTGATAATGATCGATAAAATTTGAAGAAAATATATTAATTATAAAATTAATATCTTCTTTTGGAAAAAAATATAGGTAATATAGATAATATTTCGTAAAAAAATATAGATAATGTCGTTTGATTATTATATGAAATATTTGAAAGTATATATATACAAATAATTATTTTGTTAAAAACAGTTATTTATTTTGAAATCATTTTAATTGTTTTGCGATAATTGATTTTTGTATGCTCCGATATACATAAATGATTTTTGACAATAAAAAAAATGTAATAATTTTACATCAATCTATTCAGAAATTCTAAATCATATGGAAATTTTCCAAATTTTTCAAAGTTAATTTTAATCAAAATGAAGGAAATTTATGTTCATTCAAAAATGATATATTTTATTAATCATTAAATATGAGTGTATTTATCAATAATACATATTTTTTTTAGAATTTTTATTAAAAACAAATATTTCATGTATAAAGTTTTCCAAAAAGAATGTATCATTTATATAAAATCATCTTTTTTTTCCTCCTGTATTTAATTATTTTTATATACAAAAGCTATGATA